GATAGGTAAGATAATCCTGCTTACCACAATTTCATATACAAACGGCTTTCAAATACTTTAAATAAGCTCTTCTTTTGAATTTGTTTTCAAGAGTTAAAACATAAAAATAATCAATGAAGGCAAACGCAACTACAATTGTAAATGGTGTTTATGGTTCCGATACTGTAACAGCCAATTATATGCAATTTTGGTTTCGTATATTCCGTTCAGGAATTTTTGATGTTAAAAATGGGCCTGCACATGTAGGACGGTCGTCGAAAATGCCAATAAAAGCAGAGACATGATCGAAGTTGAGCGGCATGTTAGCAGTTCTAACATTGCCCAGGAGCTAAAAATCGACCATAAAACAGTTGTAAACCATTTAGAATTGACCAAAAACGGCCAGAACAGCCAACATGAGAGGTGTCGTGTTCCACCAGGATAATGCTAGGCTACACATCTCACACATCTACAGTGACTCTCCAGAAACTTCGGCAGATTGGCTGGGAAGTTTAAATGTAACCGCCATACAGTCCGGACTTGGCACCAAGCGATTATCATCGTTTTCTTGCATTCCAAAATTTTTTAAATTACAAAAAATTGGTATCTAGGCAGGATTGTGAAAATCGACTACTAGAGTTTTTTTTTTTTTTTTTTTTTTTTGCAAATAGAGGGAGGACTTCTGTGAGAGGCATTATGAAGTTACATTTTAAATGGCAACAAATCATACAACAAATCGGTTCATATTTGTTTCGGAAATTCCGAAACATGTTGAATAAAGTCCTATAGTTCATATAAATATAATGGATTTATTTTTTTCTATTAAGTAGCATATTTGCATTTTCACAATTTTTGTATCGAGATATTTTTATTGGATCACATGTAGTTGTTTCTTAACTATTTTGAAAATCAAATAAAATGAATGCAAAATGGCGGATCAAACATAATAAAAAAATTGAATATATAATTTTTAGCAGTATTTAAGACATAACACCATATGATATCAAAATTATATTTAAAATATAGCCAAGTCATTGAAATACGTGTCAAAATTCTCCAACATTCCGAATAATGAGTGGTCAGATTATTTGTGCCGAAATTTACGTCAATATTAATAGTTTTTGTACGAACTTTTCCTACCTAAATATTTTAAAGCCTAAGTACTAAATTACAGGCAATTTGGATCAAAAATTCGCAAAGAACTCCTAAAATATCGAAATTTGGAGGTACCCGTTACTTGGTGGCTGCCATAAAAAGTGCACCACAATTTACGACTTTTTTAGGAAGATTTTCTCTCCATTGATAAAATATGTACCAAAACTTCAGTCAAAAATATTTATTATAACATAGAGTCTCATGATGTTACAACGAGTATATGTCTGGCTCACGTATGAACTAGGATTATTGACTTCGCTCAAAAATTAAGAAAATGACAGAAAAATAGGAAGATGGAATTGGAAAATAAGAAAGATCCTGACTGATTAGATTTATCCTCGTTCTTACGATAGCTATATACTAACGCCCGCCATTCGTAAAAGCCCTGTTTCGAGAAAAAAAAACGCCTTTGAAGTTTGAGAAGCACTTCAGACATCGCTTGATGCTGACACAATAAATCGGCTGTATCTTAAAGAGCAAACAATACCACACATTCCCCACCAATAAATAGACATTCTTGAATTAGTTTAGGTTCGAATAAAAGCAATAAAATAGAGAATGGATGGGGTCCCTTAAATTTACCGACACTCAGGTTAGAAAATTGGGGTAAGAAATTTAGCATACTGACAATTATAAAATAAAATGCAAAAGTTATAACGAAAACATAAAGTACATAAGTTTTTTATTTATCAGGAGTCGGTTATGCCAAATAATATTCTCTTCGATGAGAAATTTGGGTCAAAGACTCATTAAAACCGAAACTGGGCTGGATCTGTATGTAGGTGCTATTTCAAATCTTTATACCTTAATATAAAATTTTTCGCAAACATTTATTTTATCCCCAATATCGCGTAATGACATTAAAATGAAATGAGAACCTGAAAAATCAAATTAAAAACAATCCAGTCAAAAACGTGCAAAAACTTCCAATAGACCGAATAAGGGGCTACCGAAACCTTGACCAATATTCTACTCTATGATCATCCAAAATTACACCAATTTAATTGAAACACCGTCATATTGCCGCTGACAAAAAATTAGATTTTTAGACTTTCGATTTTATCCTCTGACTAAAAGTCGACTTTTGCCGAAAAATTGATTATTTTAATTAATTGTTGTCAACAGATAAAATAGAGTTCTAGAATGTGTAATTTGTATAATTATATTATTATAATTTGGATAATTAATCAAGTATTTATGAAGAAGATCGAAAGTCGAGCTTAAAACTCGACTTTACGATTTCCTCAATGATCAAAAGACAACTTCGACTTTTAGACTTTTCAATATAAAAAGTCGATTAGACGATTTACTTACCGGACATCGTTATATGGGGCTACAATACAACGGTACCACCCAATATTCGGTATTTTGGGGATTTTGGAGACGTTTTCCAACGGAACTGACTGTAATTGTTAGTAGTATTTTTGGTTCTCATTGATTGTCACATATCCGTATCGGAATTCCAACCGAATTTTGTTGTAATTTGGTATTTTGTGTTCTCATTGGCTGCCAAATCTCACTACAAAAAAAAAAAAAAAAAAAAAATCAATATTGATATCCATTTTATTATAGCCCCATATAACGATAGTCCCAATATTATTTTAGATATTTTGATTGTCATCCTCAGGATGGAGGGAATAAAAAGTTCGGCCGGGCCGAACATAAAATCGTTTTTACTTGTCATTATTAAGATTTCCTACCCAATGAGAACCCAGACTACCAAAGGTCATATGAACAATGTATATAGCCCAAATTACAAAACTTTGGTATAAACAAAATATGGGCAGACAAATTCAATAGATTTGTATTTTTTTTTTTTTTTCGATCGTTCCCACGCCACTCTTTCCCGCCCCTGCCGACCGAGGGGGCCACCTCCTCATAACGAGAGGAGCACGTACACCCCATAGTCCGGACTATGGAGGGATATGATGGTATGAAAACTACCGGCTACAAACAATTTCAGCCGGTCATATATGTATTTACTACGAACAAGGACAAAAGAACTACATACGAAGGATTGCATTTTTTATGGCATCTACAGAGTCGTAAAATGGTATACAATTATAAAGCTTATTATAAACCTCACATATAGCACGAAAGGGATCATTTAATTCATAATTAGATTTAGCTAAAGAAAGTTTAAGTGGAATGTAGTTACGCGTGTTACGTGGAGGTACATTTAATTTTATTTCTCCAATTAAAAAACTCGAAGCTATATTGCCTCTTAAAAGTTTAGTAATAAAAATTACGCGGAGCATTAAACGTCTTCTCTCAAGAGTTGGGAGATCTATAAGTTTCAATCTATTTTCATAAGGCGGGAGAGCTAAATCAGTATTCCATGGTAAACCTCTAAGAGCAAAAAGAAGAAATTGTTTTTGAACGGATTCTATTTTGTCAGAATAACATTTGTAGAGAGGACTCCAAAGTACGCAACAGTATTCCAAGGTAGGTCGAACAAGAGTTACAAAGAGACGTTTGGTCACGTAGGGATCATCAAACTCTTTAGACCAACGTTTTATAAAGCCTAACAACGACTTCGCTTTATTAACACAAGCCTCAATATGTAAGTGGAAACGAAGTCTATTATCTAGAATAACACCAAGATCAACAAAGGAGTCTACATTTTCTAATGTGTACGATCCTATTGAGTAATTACAAGAACATGTCGTGTTCTAAAGAAAGATAGTTTTTTGCATTTCTTGAGATTGAGAGACATGCCGTTGAAACTACACCAATTTGCAAGGGAATGCAGATCATTTTGTAAATAAATATATTGATTTGAAGAATTAAGATTTGAAAAAAGTTTAACATCATCAGCAAACATTAGCACTCTTGACGTTGTAATAGCTGATGGGAGGTCATTTAAGTACAGAACAAATAAAACAGGACCAAAGGTCATATGAACAATGTATATAGCCCAAATTACAAAACTTTGGTATAAACAAAATATGGGCAGACAAATTTAATAGATTTGGATTAAACGGTCTTTAATTGCAAACTTTACACCCTATTGGCGTTAAGTTCCTTAATAGGATACTGACATGTAGGTGCAATAAAGGTTTCAAAACCACGTGAAACTCTACTACAGCGAATGAGGTTTAGAAGTGTGTTTAACACCTCCGATGTAACAAAAACGGGCGGGATCTTTATATAGGGGATATCAAACATAAGGTAAACTATGCAAACAATATCATGAAAACAACTAGAAATACTAAATTGCAATAATTTTTAATAGCAACTTTTGCCAAAATCAGCACTGTAAGATATTGACATCTATTTCTATTGATGTTCATCAATCCACGAGGTACTGTGTTATACTGTCGCGATTTCTGATGCAAAGAAATGAATGTTGTAAACCATTATGTAAACACAGCATAAATTGCAGTTATCAACCCTGACATAATGATACCTCCCGATTTTTGGTGTTTCCTACCACATAGTGATTTACACTATATAGACCTGACAGTATAATACAGTTCCATGCGCGGTAGGAAACTTCATTGCAAATAAATGCCAATACAATTTTATGTAAAATTTCGGAAATTTGCCATTAAAAATTGCTGTAATTTAGTGTTTCTGGTCTCCAGTAGTGTCTGTGATATCACTGGAAATCATTGTTTACATATGCTCATTTATGTTTTCTAAAGATCCCACCCATTTCTGATTGGAACTTTCAGTATACCTATGGTAACTGTCAATAGTGTATCCAATGTTCGGCCCGGCCGTAAATAACGCTTTTTTTAAATTTTTTTAAATTTGGTTTTAAATTAAAAAAAAAAGTTGCTTGTGCAAATAACAAAAAAATAATAAACTCAACTGTGACATTACTCGAATAAAATATTCTTTATTTTCTGTTCTATTTCCAGATATTAGTCAGTACAACATTTACAATTTGCTCAGCGCATTCAACACCGCCCTGTGGCTTATATGGTGCGCCTCCATGCCAGTTTCTGCCGGCACCACCCGGCCAGACGCCATCATGTGCCCGGCCAGGAAAAACCTACTGTGAACACATCGACAACTATCCAACGTAAGTCAACCAACAACCACATCGACATCGACAGCAACACTAACAAACACGCTCCATTACACATTCTTTAAATAGTTATGTAATCTCCGTTACGTGTCTGATTTAAATTGTATCTAAAAATAGACACCAGACTATTATTAACGAAATATTTCTCGCTGAAACCAGAAAACAATAAATTCAATTCTTTGATGGAGACAAGTAAATCATTAGCTCCCACATCTATGGATTGGAGGCCAAATGGCAACAAAGTACCAGTGGCTGGTTACCATCGAAAACCGCTTCAACACGCTTCTTTCTCCACTTCTTCTGGTCGAACGAGCGTTATTATCGTTGTCGCCCCCATGAAGAAGACATTAAGTCGAAGTGATAAATGACCGGGTGAGCATAGACAAAAAACGTGTTATTCCGGCATTTGTTCAGTTTTTTTTGGGAATTTCGTTATACCTTCGTCGATCGATCGTTGATCGACTTGGCCATATATCGGCTCAATAAAAACATTAGATGTTTTAAAACAATTTGCATACTTAGATGGTGTTCTTCACTTATGGCAGTATTAGGTGTGAGAGGCACAGTGGTTTGAGAGTGTATGAATTGGAAACAAATGGAGATTAAAGAGTCACATTCGATATCAAAAAACAAATAATATCATTTGTGTGAATATATACCAGTCATTGTAATTATTCGTAATAAATTCATGAAAATATTAGCACATGATAAACACCACATTAATCAGGGTCTGATATTTCAGTTACCTTAAACGGCATATACATTAGAACTTTTTACCGGGTTAACCTACTTTATGAGGATTTATTTGACATATATGCAAAGGAATTGACAATTGAAACCTACTGGGTTAACGAAATCCCGTTAAATGTAAACGTACTATTAAATCGATTAATTCAATTACCTTGTTCACAATATTTCCTTAATATTAGTCTTAATTCAAAATCAAAATGTTTAGACATACTTTAGAAGCTATTACAAACTTTAAAAGCTACTCCCATTTGCCACTTTTTTGGACTTTTTGCGAATTGGACAAATGATGGTTCTGTGGTGCACCATAGAATCGAATAAAATTATATATTTGAAATATATCTACATTTAAACCGATTTCCACAAACTCCAATAGGGTTCTTCCTTGCGAAATATCAACTCATTTGAATGGACAATTGGTACTGAAATTTCAATTTGTGGAGTACCGTTATATGGGGGCTACCTTAAATAGTGAACCAAAATTTATCATTTTTGGTAGGAAGATTTGCCAGATAATGATTAAACAATATACCAAATAACAGCCAGTAATAATTTCCTATTTTATCATTAGCATGCTGTGTTAGTAAAAGTCAATTTTAATTATACCCTACATAACTATGTTTTCAGGGTATTATAGCTTTGTGCAGCCCCAAGAGTTTGTATAGCCGCAAATTCTTGATCCTAGACCCAGCATTATGTATACCGATCGCCATATCTCGACTAGCTGAGTCAATCTAGACATTTGTGTCCGTCCGTCTGTCCATTAAAATTTCTAAAAATTTTGCATGTATGATGGGTTATAGTCAAAGAATATCCCTATTATTTTTGGTAAGGATTGGTTAATATTTAGGGGATGGAATAAACCAAACACTTTTTGTCTATTCGCTCTAGAGGCCACAATTATGACCCGAGCATCATGAAATTGTACACCAAGAAGGTAAACTGGGTAAAGGATAAGCATGAGTGTTTTGATGAAGATCGGTCAATATTTAACTGGTCAAATGCACCCAGACTTCTATATTTACTCCTAAAGGACAAAGACTCGAGAAATTGATAGAATATCCAAGAAGAGTGGTTGATGCATTTTTATATTGTTGCATATCCTCGGATGTGTGAGGTATACGTAAATAAGTTAAACTGTCTATGTGTTATGTTTAGTATAACTATTGTTATACTATAGTATAACTACATTGTTTAGTTAAGGGCGAAAATGTTACGCTGATCACTTTGAAATTTTACATGAAGTTCCGCTTATGGTCAAGGGCGACGCTTATAATTTTCGGTTATGTTGAGATTATATTTAGGAAAACTTTATTTTTGTCAGATTTTCTAGTCGCTCTAGATGTCATTATTATATGCAAAACATCACATGTTTTACACGGTGAAAGGAATCTGACCAAAACGATTGTGATGGATGTGATGTGATGATGGATGTGATGGATGATGATCGGTCAATATTCCGAGGGTCTAATCAACCAAAACCTAAAGTAACCAAATCTTAATTTTTTGTCGTAAATATTCACCTCGGAAAAACAATGAAATTATATTGTAAATTTGATGTGTATGTGTTTTATATGGATAGTGACAACTGACGGGACTATTGATCGGTACAATTACAGTAACTTATAAATATTACGGTAGGTCATGATTTTATTGCCTTCGCAAACTAATTGCATCTAAACACTGTGCAATTTTAGAGATACGACGCTAATACATTGTCCAAACTTCCTTGACCCACTAAACTTGACTTGACAGCTCGAAGAAATCAAAGATAAAATATGGCATCTGTGTTTGTTGTTTTCCAAATTTATTGGCTTAGCTGGGTTTTTTCCTTGTAGTAGCTGCCGCACACACACTGAACTTAACTAAGAAGCATTGGCTATTTTCCTTCACATGTCAGCTAAATAAAGAGTTTTAACTTGGCTAAAAATAAAACCTGTTTCCATATTAATTTCATTTTCAATTTCAACAGCAGCAACAACTTGGTCAATAAACCAAAACACGAAATAGATGGCTGTTAAGTATTCTTTGACTGGCAGGCAGGCTAGCTGGCAAGAGATTTGATTGGTTATTACTTAATAATGGCTTTAAGATATATATTTTTTCGTTAATGGCCATCTCCAGTTATGGCCAGTAGTGAATCACGGCAAGCGTGTGCGACAATAAACATTCTTGGATGATCGATATTTATTTGAGACGATATCAAACATGACATATTTACGATTTGTTTTTGTTGAAAGCGATTTGCATAAGACGTCAATGGCATTCGAGACAAGTCGTGCGGTATGTGGGCACACGACAAATTTGTAAACCCGAAATTCCGAGGGAAAAGTGGAATAGTTAATGATTTCGACAATTTGGTTTGAAAACCGATGCAAGTGATTTTCACGACATACACATCCACGTAGTAGATGCATGCATACCTGCATGCGACCATGGGTATCTGATGGTATGCGTTTGGACTATTCCCAAACCACAATGCATTCAATTTAAATTCAGTTTCGTATAAAATGTGTCATTTGGCCTATACCGTATTACGCACGTTCTCACCTTCAATGGAATGTGCAGTGGCCCAACCAATAAGTGATAAATTTACTTTTATTAATTTAATCCCTGCATACTTTTATTAATTTTTGCTTAATTGTTTACGAAAATAATGCACACTGGTTATTTCCTGCATCAGATGGTTGCGTACAAAATGTGAATATGGGAAATTCCAAAGTCTTTTAAATTCCTTGAAACTGAGATTGCTACCTTATAAATCGCGAAATATGAACATATTGCATATAATATAACTTCATTTCTATAACATGAAGTGTTCTTGTCAAAATCTTAGAAAATTGGTAATAAATAATAGGTTTGATGGAAGCTGTGTTGAAGCCAACGAGTTTTTTTGTGTTCCTGATTTATGGCTAAACTAAACAACGCACGCACATGTGACCAGTGAATAAGTTGCAGAATACCCCATGGACAATATGGTTCTAATGTATTATTTTTCGATATAATCTGACATTTTGAAGCCGGATTTTCGGTCTTTTTTGAATTTTTCTTGTAATCAGGACGCGCAATCAAATAATAGCTCACTATCTAAACTGATTATAGAATTGTAGAACTCGTGATTTTGCTTCGTTTAGTGTATATCTCATGAATGTATCTTATTTCCATTTGGATTCCAAAGGCGAAAATTTGGTGCGTAAATTTTTATAAAAAAAACCTATTTTTTGAGTCTACATTTAAAAAGGCACACTCAAATGCCGTGGAACCACGCGTAATTTTAGTTTTTTTTACGTGCCGAATCTAATGAGACCAGCCATGTTCAATTCCGCCTAATAAAATGGCGGATATAGGTACCTTGAATGTAGGAAAAACTGCAAAAACTTATTTTGACTAATTCGCGTATATAATCGCTTTTCTTCAAGTTGATTTTACCTGCATTAATGCTGGTATTATCATATTCGCGAATCTGTGTGAAAATATGTCAAAAATACATCGATACGCGATGTACACCTCAAAATTGATTGAGGTGGCACATCCGCGGTTCTTAACCAATTCTTTTAAGATTGATGTACTTTTGTGTATTTTCATTGGAGATTACTGAAATCTGATGCGCATAAAAATCTTATGCACGTTGCGTCATTTTTAGGGTTTTTGAATAGTAAAGTGAATCGAGCGGCACACTTTGGCCGCTAAATGAAACATCGAAAAATTCATAATTATTGGAAGAGATTGATTCGATTTATATGAAAACCACATGCGCAACAACTGATTTCCACGAATACGCGAATTGCATGCTTTTCAATATTGACCATTTTATTGACCATATTGTAAGTGCAAAATATTGAGTCATGAAGAAATTCGCGTCGAAACTCTTATCAGATGAATCTACCGATATTTAACAATCATCTAAATGATCAAAAATTTAAATAAAGCCAAAAATTAATTTATTTTATTTTCAAATATTTTCATGCTTTTATTCGTATTTCGCGACTATTAAACCGTATTTCAATGTGATTTGACAAGTATTCAAAGAAAACAAATCTGTTTATTCATTCGTGAAGAAATTCGCGAATTACAACAAATAGGAATTCATTTAATTTACATTTGAAATACAACATTTAAAACCACTATAACTTTTGTGCGCAGCATCCGAATTTGTGTACGCGAACAGATTTCGAATCTGCATATTTTTCTTAACGTATCTACCAAAAAACATGAATGTGCTCGCAAGAAAAATTTTCAATTTTTTTTAATGGAATTTT